TATATATATAAATGTGTGTGTGTGTGTGTCTGTGTGTTTGTGTATATATATATATATATATATATATGTCAGTGACCATGTAGTAACCCATTTTACGCCTAGATGTAGCCATACACCAAAATGGATGTCAGTGCCTCACTCATTTTTCAGGTCATAGTGAAGCATGCTTTGACACATTTGATTTGAATGAATTGTTGATTAACGGGCTTCTGCAGAACTTGAGGAAGTAATTAAATCACTGAATCAGCCGTGTTGGAGCAGGAAACTACTGAAACGTACAGGATGGTGTTCCTTGAAGACCAAGGTTGGGAACCACTGCTTTAGAGAATACTAGGCCAATGTATTAAAACAATATGTTTTTATACATTGAGCTGAAAGTTATTGTATGGGCAGCATGGTGGCGCAACTGGTAGAGCTGCTGCCTCCAGGTGCTCCGGTTTCCTCCCTCAGACCAAAAACATGCATGTTAGGCTTATTGGTGACTCTAAATTGTCCATAGGTGTGAGTGAGAGAGTGAATGGTTGTTTGTCTCGTTTGTCTCTATGTGGCCCTGTGATGGACTTGCGACCCGTCCAGGGTGTACCCCGCCCCTCGCACAGTGATTGCTGGACATGGGCACCAGCGACCCCCGTGACCCAAAAAGGAATAAGCGGGTAAAGATGGATGGTTATTGTTGAACTCTGAAATCTTTCCAGATAGATAATCTTTACTGTGGAGACATAAGAAGTTAAAAGTCAAACAGTCGGCAAGAAAGTCAGCAAGAAAACCAAATATTTAAAGTTCTGTTAGTTTTTTCAGCACTTTTATTTGTATCCTTTCAACATTCTTTTGTAGTAGTGAATTTCCCGCACCTCATAGATTCAACAGTGAATTCATTACAGAAATAACATACCGCAATTTTCTAGGGTCTGCAAATCTAAAAACGCTAGATAACCTAGTAAAAAATGTGTAAAAATTTATATAGATTTATAAATAAAAAGAAAAAGACAGAAAAGCAAAAAAAAAAAAACAAACATAAGTAGAATAATAAAATTAAAATCATGTGAATAATCAAGCCAGGAAGATTGGGATCTATTGTCATTTTTGAACAGAACCATGCAAAAAAAGTCAGGTTAATTTCTCAGTTCAACCAGTAATGTGTCTGTGTGGCTGTATTACAGCGTGTTTCAAGCCATGCCATTTTCAAAAGACCACAGGAAGCTCTAATTAGAGGTGGTGAGAAAGGTAGACTACTTTATATTTCATTGTTGTGAGCAGCATTGAACTAGAAGTGAACTATCTGTCTAACAAACACAAATATTCTCCCAGTCAGACTTTTGCTCATACCCTGAACCCTTCATTCTACATGGTGTTAATAGAAATGGGGGGAAAAAAGGGGTTTTCAAAATGTCTGGAGTTGCAGTGTAATGGAGGCAATGTTATGCATTACATTAAGACAACTTCGTAACATTTTTGGAGAGGAATGCTTCTGAAAAAGGAATGCAATGCTCCATTCAGACTGTTAACAATGTAAAAAAGCTCAGAAATTAGTAATTAAATAACCCTCTACTATTTATACATTCAGGCACTGAAAAATCACATGTCAATATGTAACTAAAAAAGATAGTTGCTCTTTTTTCCCTTGGTAAGAACAAGGAAATTTATACCTTGAAGTTGGCAAATGCGTAAATTTTTCCCACCTTGTAGTAAAGCCATGTACATCCCATTTGCTATTCTTTCATGTGACAGTTTCTTCCCCTTGAGTGCATTTTCAGACATTGACCTGCAGTCAGAGCTATAGTAGTTTCTTCTAAAGCTTTCAGCCTACACTACAGGAAAGAATCCATGACACTTTTCTTTAGTGAGGGAAATCAGATGATTTTTCTCACTTTTCTCTTTAGACAAACAGTTAAACAAACAGATGGGTAGACAGATCTATTCCATGGCCCCAGAGGGCCAGCAGGTGAGCCGAGGCTCCATGGACCAACTCCCCCCATGTGGTTAAGGACTCTCCGGTGTGACAGCCAGCTCTCACCCCAGCGACCCTGAACGCAGTCATTTTTTTTAACTATACAAGGGCTTTTACAAAAAAGCTAACTGGAACAGCCATACAATGGCTAAAACATAAACCACATCTCTACTTTGTCTCAGTTTACTGTATTTTTTTTCTCCTTGTCTTTTGGGGATGCATTTGTGTGTTTTGTTATTTGTTTGCCTTTGTTCTTTTTTTTAAGTAGCTCTAATCCAGGCCTGTGCTGAAAGGGTCAGTCATACAGGATTGGGGTTTTGGATTCTTTTGGTTGATAAGTAGGAGGAAAAACAGGGGAGAGAATAAGGGCAAAGAGCAGGTCTCAGGTCAAGATATGGGTTCAATATTAGTCCAAGAAATGGACTTACAATTGGATACAGAGACACTTTGGATGGGACTGAAAGGTGTGCATTTGTTTGGGAAAAGGCTGGGACTGATGGGTGATTACAGACAGTTTGTCAAGGTCATCCACTGTCAGAGGATGTGTGTGGTGCTGTTGATGGAGAGCGTCGCCTACGTGTGGTGGAAGTCCACGATCGCTCGGAGTGTTCAGAACGCTCTGATGCTAGAGAGGCAGGACGAAAGCGGTGAACAAAGCCATCCATGAAGTCCTGCTGCTGCTGGGTTATGGCTTGGGAGATGAGGCAGGGCAGTGCCTGCAAGCTGCCTGCCACCGAGTCCAGCTTGTCCTCTAATGTGCCGATGCGCTTGTCCAGCTCCTCGCTGCGTTCCTGCAGTTCTGACACCAGGTCATACATCACATTCTGGGTCTAACAAAGAAGAGAAAGTAAAGGGTTTGAAGAAGACAGTGAGACAAAATGGAGAAAAGGACAGCAGAATAAAGAAAAAGGCTTTATTACAAAATAAACTTGATCAAAAAGCAGATACAAATATGGTTAATGAAAAAAATTTTTTTTCATAAATTTCATATGTGTACAAGCTAAGTTTTCTTTACTTTGTGCAAAGAGAAGGAATACTGAAGAAGCAGGCGGGGGGAGGGGGTTTCATAGTTTCAGCATGTAAGCAGAGATTTAGTCTCCCCATAGATTTAACAACCAGCCTCTCCCATCCACTTAAAACCAAAGAAGGCTTTTAATACAATACTTAATGCATTTGACTGACATAATCCATTTATGTAATTAAAAGTGTCTCCATTATTTAGGCACATTGTTTTGCAGAGACTGCAGTGCTGGCCAGCATTACCGTACATGATAGCTGCTATAAACCCTTGAAATTTTTTTTACATAATAATTTTTTTAGGTTTAAACTGGGATCATATATAGTAGATATCATCCACCCATTCTTCATCCACCTTTCTCAGTAGAGTTGCAAGAGAGCTGGTGCCTATTTCCAGCAGTCACTGTGCAAGAGGCGGTGTACACCCTGGACAGGCAACAAGTCCATCACAGGGACACTTAGACAAAAACAAGTCAGACAAGCAACATGTCTTCGCACTTAAACAGTGGTAGCCAGTCCATTAGACCACAAAAACAAAAGAATTACCCCACAAACTAACATTTTTCAGTCAGGTCATCTGGACAGTTTCTTTTTTTGTGCTGAAACGTTTTGCCTTATTTTTATTGAGCATGGACTTTGTTGTTTTCAACCAGTTTGACAAGACTGTCAAAAAGGAAGAGGGCCGGCAATGAAGGAGGGGTCGTACCAAAGAGACCATCTTATCATAAACAAAACTGGTTTGTTCCACTTTGTAGTAAGCTGTTGGGGGAAGAATCAGTTTTGTTGTGTGTTTCCTTGACTGATGAAGCCTTCCGGATCGAAGGCAAAACTTTTCAGCACAAAAAAAGAAACTGTCCAGATGACCTGACTGAAAAATGCTGGATTGCATACCTGGATTATTGAGCATGGACTTTGTTGCCCCACAAACTAGTTCCTCCTAATAAACAATGTAAATTACTTGGGCTGTTTTCACACCTGATAGTCCGGTAGACTCGGTTCGGTTGGGGACCAATATTCAGAACATTTGTTTACATTTCATCTGGTGCAGTTTGCATTCACACTACACTGAGTCAATTGAGCCAACCTGTTCCCCCGCCCTCACCTGTGGTGGCGCTGCACCAAAAACTACTGAAAGAAACAACACAAAAACCTCTGAAGAAGACACTTCTTCTTCTTTTGGAAACAAAAACAAAAATGGAGTGGTGTCAAATTTGAGTGGTTTTAGGATTTCTGTTTTGCCATTTTTCAACAATGGACTCAGCATGAGTGGAAGATGAGGCAGAAGACCATGGAGAATGTTGTTTTTCACACAAGGTGGCTGACGGCTTCGTATGAGGTATGAGAAATGCACGTTTGTTTGCCCTGCGCGGTAGTTCACTTCCTGCTTTTGGAGCGGTCTCCAGTCTGCTTGCATTCACACTGCATTCGAACCATTCAACTTCAACCGAACCAAGACCTAGGTATTTAGGCAGACCAGAGATGTATTTTTTTGGTCCGTATCAGAGTTCGATTGTGTATTCACACCTCCCCAAACAAATCGGACTTTCTAGGCAAACGGACTAGAGTTCTATTAAAACGGACTAAACAGGGCTGGTGTGAATGCACCCTTATTTTCTGAGCTTGCTGTGTATTGTTTTGTTCTGTTACAATTTGGATCATTTTAATTTGAATTGAAAACTATTTTTAGTTATTCATCCTCAGTTTAAAAAAAAAAAAAAAATATATATATATATATATATATATATATATATATATATATATATATATGGGGCAGTGCCATTCAACCACTCGCATTCTTCAAGTGGATTAAAATGGGTGACCAGTGATCTGAACAGGCAGGTTTCATAGAGTTTCATTTGGGGCATCTGATTTTCTGCCCTGTGGATACATTTGTCTGGTTTTGGCCCATTGATAAGACCTCTACCTAAGACCTGACGTGAGCTCAAATCCAGGAATAGCTGCAGTGAAACCTGCTGAGACTAAGGGTGCATTCACACTAGCCCTGTTTAGTCCACTTTAATCGAACTCTAGCTCGTTTTCCTAAAAGTCCGGCTCGTTTAGGGAGGTGTGAACGCGCCATCGAACTCCGTCACGGAATAAAAAGGCGAACTCTGGCCCGGGCTAAAACCTAGGTCTCGGTCTGGTAGAAGCGAACTCCAGCGCGGTTCGAGTACAGTGTGAATGTAAACAGACCGGGCCCCGCTCCGCAGGGTAAACAAACACACATTTCTCTGACCTTATATGGAGCCGTCAGCTGCCTTGTGTGGAAAAACAATATTCTTCATGGTCTTCTGTCTCATCTTCTGCTCATGCTAAGTCCATTTTTGAAAAACGACAAAATATAACTCCTAAAACTGCTAAAACTTGATGCCACTTTGTTTTTATTTTTATTTACAGAAGAAGAAGAAGAAGACGTGTTTTCAGAGGTTTTTGTGTTGTTTCTTTCAGTAGTTCTTGGTGCAGTGCCCCCACAGGCGAGCGGGGGAATAGGTTGGTTCAACAGGTTGACTCGACTGCACAGTGCAGTGTGAATGCAAACGCACCAGCGCAAATGTAAACAAAAGCTCATGAATATTGGTCCCAAACTGAACCGAGTCTACCAGACTATCTAGTGTGAAAACGACCTAACAGTGGAGATAATATGTTTTTAAGTCAATTTGGAGCAGAGAGGGGACCAGAGCAGAAAGTTGAACAGAGGAAAGTCAAAGAACAGGGAATTTATGCCAAACTTATCTAAACAATTCCATGGCCTGTGTGTGTGTGGTTGTAGTGGGTCAGTGGTTGAAGCAATGGTTTTATAATGGAGTTTTTGTGGGTTCAGTCCCCTCTTGAAATTTCCATTTGATTTGATGATTTTTTTTTTTCATTTACCCTTTATTTATACAGGTAGTCTCATTGAGCCATGAGAACTTATTTTCAAGAGAGACCTGTTTAGGGAGCAGATGGGGGGGTTAAGGGCCTTGCTCATGGGCCCAGAGTGGGGCGAATGAGGGTGGGGGCAAGTGTGGGTGCTTCACCTACCCACCCACAATTTTGATGTTGTCGGGGCCGGGGCGTGAACTGGCGATCTTTGGATTACAGGCCCACCTTCTCTAACCTGTGCGCCACCACTCCCCCATTTGATTTGATGATATTTACAATTATACATTATTTTAGCTATTATATGATTATCTAGTTGTTATTTTATAGTATTTTACCTTTTTCCTGGCATTTAACTGTTTTATTCCGGAGTATTATTTCAGAATAGTTTTTAGTCAAATTAGAAATCCAATTTAAAAAGCTGTGCAGCTCAGGGTGGGAGATGTCCATTTCTCAGATTTATTAGACTGGACTGTTTTTCACAAGACACAACCTCGACCTGTGGGAAGGAGAAAAAAGGCAAAAACTTTGTCGACACACAACAAACAACAACAATAAATTAATATTAAACAACATATACGCATTTTTTTCCTCACAGAAAATATAATACAATTTGTAAAAAAAAATGTGTGGTTAGTGATGCAGGAAATTGTCCACCCCACTAATATTTTTGCTTAGGAGCCACCACTGCATCTAAGGACAATTTAGAGTCATCAATAAACTCAAAATGCATGTTTCGGTTTTTGGGAAAAAATCAAGTACTCAGAGAAAGCCTGGTCATTGTAGAAGACAGAGTTCAGTCCCAGAGTGTGGAGATATGGGATTGTCACTGGTTGCAGAATCTCATTTTGTGGGATACCCAATTCGTGGTCAGTTACTGACATAACTTATACTGAAATTTGGAGCCGGTCACCCCAAATAATATATAATTTATCAACAAACAAAGAGATACTTAAGGTTAATAAAAGAGTTGTTAACCTCCAAAGGGGTGCGTGCACATATGACCATTGAGCACAAAGGAGAGATAAATACAGATTTCATGAGTTGGTCTTGGCAGCAGCTAAAAACACACTGGTGTGGAAATGCTATCCACATCAATTGAAGCTGCACCTCACTTTGAAGTCTCTTTTGACTTGGGTGGCCTCTAGGATTGAAACTACTCAGACAACCACTCTTACAGTGGTTATTTAGATCCTACATCTTAAATATCTTTACCTTTAACTGAAAGATAGGAATAGTGTAATGTTCCAGTCTGTTTGTTTGTTTCCATGCCTGCTCACATGTCAGGGAGTAATCAGCTTATTCAGTCTACGTGTGCCCGCTTATTGTGCTGCTGCTTCTCACCTGTGTTCTCTATTTAAGCTTCCTCCAGCCACAGACACCTTGCCATATTATCAAGAAGAGTTATGTGTGTAGATGTACAGCATTACTTCCTTGCCTATTTTTGATCTTCTTGTTATGACCGTGCTTCTTCCCTCTGGATTTGGTTGTTTGTGTGACCAGTCTGTGGCTCCCAGCAGTTCCAGATTCTTCTTCTTCTTCTTCTTTCAGCTTTTTCCTCTTCAGGGGTCGCCACAGCGAGTCATACTACTCCACCTCACTCTGTTCTCTGCATCCTCTGTCCTCACTCCAACTACCTTCATGTCCTCTCTAACTGCATCCATATGTCTCCTCTTTGGCTTTCCTCTTTGTCTTTTTCCTGGCAGCTGCATTTCTAACATCCTTCTACCAATATACCCACTGTCCCTCCTCTTGACATGTCCAAACCATCTCAGTCTGGCCTCCCTATCTTTATCTCCCAGTTGTTCAACCTGTGCTGCACCTCTGATGATCTCATTCCTAATCTTATCCAGCCTTGTCACTCCTAAGGAGAACCGTAGCATCTTCATTTCTGCCACTTCCAGTTCTTTCTCCTGTCTTTTTGTGAATGCCACTGTATCCAGACCATACAATATAGCTGGTCTCACCACTGTCTTGTAAACTTTTCCTTTGGCATTTGCCGACACCCTTTTGTCACAAATCACTCCTGAAACTTTTCTCCATCCACTCAATCCTGCCTGGACTCTGTTTTTCACTTATTTACCACATTCCCCATTTCCCTGGACAGTGGACCCCAAGTACTTGAAGTCCTGCACCTTTGTGACCTCTGATCCTTGTAGCCTCACTGTTCCACCGGCTTCCCTCTCATTCACACACATGTACTCTGTCTTACTACGGCTGACTTTCATTCCTCTTCTTTCAAGTGCATACCTCCACCTCTCCAAGTTCTCTTCCACCTGTTCCCTGTTCCCACCACAGATCACAATGTCATCTGCAAACATCATTGTCCATGGGGATTCTTGCCTGACCTTATCTGTTATTCGGTCCATCACCAGAGCAAACAAGAAGGGGCTCAGAGCCAATCCTTGATGCAATCCCACCTCCACCTTGAAGCTATCCATCACTCCTACAGCACATCTCACCACTGTCCTGCTGTCCTCATACATGTCCTGTACCAGTCTAACATACTTTTCTGCCACTCTAGATTTCCTCATGCAATACCACACCTCCTCCCTCGGCACTCTGTCATATGCTTTTTCTAAATCCACAAAGACACAGTGGAGTTCTTTCTGACCCTCTCTGTACTTCTCCATCAGCATTCTCAAAGCAAATATGGCATCTGTGGTGCTCTTTCTTGGCATGAAACATACTGCTGCTCACAGATAGTCACCTCTCGTCTAAGTCTTGCTTCCACAACTCTCTCCCAGATCTTCATCGTGTGGCTCATCAACTTAATTCCCCTGTAGTTGCTACAACTCTGTACATCACCCTTGTTCTTAAAAATGGGCACCAGCACACTTCTTCTCCATTCCTGAGGCATTTTCTCACCCTGAAATATGCCATTGAATATTTGAGTCAAAAATCTCACTGCCATCTCTCCAAGATACATCCAAACCTCCACTGGTATGTCATCAGGTCCTACTGCCTTCATCAGATCCTACTGCCTTCCCCTTCTTCATTCTTTTCAGAGCTTTCTGGACTTCACCCTCACTAATTTTTCCCACTTACTGGTCCACAGTTTCCATGACCTCTACTCTTCTTTCTTTCATTCTCTTCATTCATTAGCTCCTCAAAGTACTCCTTCCATCTTCCCGTCACACTCTCCTCACTTGTTAGAACATTACCATTCCTATCTTTAATAAGCCTAACCTGTTGCACATCCTTTCCAGCCTGATCCCTCTTTCTTGCCAATTGGTACAAGTCCTTCTCGCCCTCTTTAGTGTCCAGTCTCCCATACAACTCATCATATGCCCTCTGCTTTGCCTTAGCTACTTCCCTATTTGCTCTATGTCCCATCTCCTTATATTCCTTTCTCCTCTCTTCAGTCCTCTCACTGTCATATTTCTTCTTGGCTAATCTCTTTCTTTGAACGGCGTCCTGCACTTCACTATTCCACCACCCGGTTTCCTTATCATCCATTGTTTGTCCAGATGACACACCAAGTACCTTCCTACCTGTCTCTCTAATTACTGTTGCTGTAGTAGCCCAGTCATTTGGAAGCTCTTTTTTACTACCCAGAGCATTTAACAGCTCCTCTATGAATTTTTCACAACATTCTTCATTTCTTCATCTTCCACCATTTGGTCTTCTTCTCTGATTTTACTCTTTATCTTCTTCACAACAACAGTCATTCTACACACAACCATCCGATGCTGTCTGGCCACGCTCTCCCCTGCCACAACCTTACAGTCTCCAATCTCCCTCAGGTTTCCTCTTCTACACAGAATGTAGTCAGTTCCAGATTCTTAATAAATCTTTTAAAGTGTTCTGTGCTTGTTTGAGGTATTAGGTCCCCTGTATTTTATTTGTGTCTCGCAAATAAATGGTAAAGCCAAATTACCGAACTTGAGCTCAGAAGTAGGGCTTTAACAGACTACTCGAGTAATCGACAGGTCGATTCCTAGGACATCTATCGAGTTTTTAAATGTCACGTCGAGTATTCGCAGTGACGTCATTGTGTCATGTGAGCTGCACCGGGCTACTAGTAGAAGCTACTAAATGGATTCCTCCCAACAGATGGACTGAGCTGAGCAGGCCCAGTCTTGGCAAACAGGTAGAAATGCATCAATAGTATGGAAATATTTCACTAAAGATGAATCTTCCGGTTCAACTAGTGCAAGGAAACAGAAAATGAATCAACCTCCTGACTGTTTGGATCTTGTTACGAACCAGTGTTATACCATTTTCTGTGACCACCGTATATTGTGACCGTAGGGGGTGGTGTTGCATGCACTGTTGCAGGTCACAGAATATGGTGTTACACCGGGTCCAATGATCGAACCAGAACCTGCTTCCTCTGACCTTGTTTCACAAACTAAAAGCCAAAAATATTGATCTCTAAACCTATAAAAAAAAAACCTATAAACATATTCATCTCTAAAACTAAACCTAATGCACACCACAGCTGGCGGTGGTGCAGGGTAGACGTCCGCCCCACTGTTTTAAGTTTGGTTTTTGACGTGCTGCACGTTTTTTCTTTCACTTTTACAGCTTAATAATAATAACTAATAGTTTTGGTTTTCCTGTGTCTTATTTGCAGGATGATAAATGGTAGGAACATAATATACTCTCCCTATGTTTTGTTGGTCTTTTTTTTTTTTTTTGTAAATAATAAATGACGTGGGTTTTTTTTGCAGTTTTATTTTTGATTTATTTACTCATCTTGAGATCCTATGATGTCATCAACTACTCGAGTTGTACTCGAGTTTTATTATGTTAATGTCGAGTTTAAAAATTATGTAGTTGTTCAACCCCTACTCAGAAGCTCCTTTAAATGAAATCTTTGTAATTTTGTGTTTTGCTGGTTGTACCATACTGTTCCATCCGGCCGTACGTACGTACATACAGTACATACATACCTCCCTCCCAACTATGGATAATTAACTAACTAAAAATCTACTGTAGCACAATTCCCAACATATCCTACTCACACCATTTTGGTGGTTGTTTCTTTGAAATTTTCTTGGCCACTTGGACACATATTAGACTTTTAATTATAATGCTGTAAATTGTATATTGCATGTTTAATTTGTATGTTTATTTTGTATTTTTTTCAACCACTTTTGTGCAAATCTCTAAAATAAATATCCTAATTTAATTTGTTGTTTGCAAATTCACTGCAAAATTCTGGTGATGAGTTGTTTGTTTTTTGTTAAGATAAACATGGCTGTTACTAAACAAATTTATAAGTATGCTCTTCTTGTAAAACTTAATTCTCACTACAGACTCCTAAACTGAAAGCAACTGAATCACTAACTTGCAGGCTTTATATAAAGTTATGCTGTAGTGATAGAGGCCCAGGCTTGCCTCCTGACTGGGTCCTTTCTGTGTGGAATTTGTATGTGTTTCTAGTGTGCATGGTCTTTCTCTAGATATCACAGTTTCCTCCCACAGACACAAAAACATTAATGTTAAGTGGTGACTCTAAATTGTCCCTAGGTGTGAGTGAGAATGTTTTATTTTTGTCTTAATTGTCTCTACTCGTCCGTATGACGGACTGGAGACCAGTCCAGGTTGTACCCTGCCTCTCTCACAGTGACTGCTGGAGATAGGCTCCAGCTCTCTGCAAACTGGAAAGGAAAAAGCAGATAAAAAAATGGACAACATAATGGATAGATAACAGCATTTAAACTACTTTAGACAATGAACTGTAACACAGGTAGGGATGCACCAATCCACATTTTTTAACTTCTGATTCGATCCTGATACCTACATCTGGATATCGGCAGATACCGATACTATTATGATATCCTAGTCATAATGGATTTTATGAGGCTGTAATAATCTCCTCTCAAGTACAATTTGTACAAATCTATGCACGTATGTCCAAAAAGGCAACTTGAGGTAAGTTTCATTAATGTTAAGTTTCAAAGTTAGAATTAAATCCTGCTAACACAAAACATGTTTTTTTTTTTTTTTAATTCCTATCTTTAAAGTGGATATTAAAGTGATTAAATGATTTCAAACATCTGCTAAGTTCATGGCATAAACCAACACAGACAAGTTCCTGTTTTTAGTATTTTACATCTCTTTATAATGTAGCTGTTTTTGTTTCTTTTTATATATATATGTGCGTGTGTGTGTTTGTGTGTGTGTGTGTATGGCTGCAAACGATGAAATGGATTTCCTGAATGTGAGGTGGGTCTTATCACTCTGGGTTTCATGAAACACGCCTCCGTTCAGGAAATCCATTCCATAGTTTGAAGCCAACGTGCAGAGAAGCCAGCAGGGAATCACATGTGGAGACATTTCATCACACACACATGCATCATGGATCGGAAATCTCTGCAGGTTGGATTGGAAAAATCCGATACGTAAATTATGCTGGTATCAGAGGCCGATACAGATACCAGATTGGATCGGCCCCATCCCTAAACACAGGTACCCCATTCCTAGAGTCCTCTGTCTGTTCAATAAATAAATGCAAAGGAGAAAGTTAAAGGAGATAGTGGAAGAACTGAAGTCAAACAAGAAGTACGGTAAGCCTTTCTGTGTGAGTACATATCAGTTTTTGTTGAACTGAACATACTGATAATTTTAAAGTAAACCATTAGCTTTGCTGTACACTCTTGCCTGTTCAGTATAAACAAATTACAGTATGTATTTTATAAAGTTTATTAAAAGGACTCACCTTTGCTAGGTCCACCAATGTGTTGGCCTGATCATTGAGTTTTCTTTGCTCCATCTTCACACTGCGTAGTCTGAGTGCAGGCAAATAAGTTTGAACAGTACAATAAAAAACAAGAAGGGGGAAAATGTAAAGAAAGAAGGAGACAAGGAAGAGGGGTTGTAGAAATATGGTGACAATAACAAGATACATGGTTTCCAGGAATAAATGGGGTGGGGGTGGAGAGAGAGAAAGAAGAAAGAGGGCCAGGAGAGAAGGGAGAAAGATGAGGAAATCAAATTTTATTAGGATTTTCATTCATGAAACTGAAATAAGACATGCACATAAAAACTTTTTTTTTTTTCCAAGTTTGTGCAAACGTATACTGTATATATTGTTTATGGATATATACAGTAGAAAAGGATGTGCATATAAGCAAGCAGAATTGGTCCTAAAACCAATACAAAACCAACCAAAACATGCAGAAAAACAGAAGCATACTACACTCATTTTGAAACTACAGACTGTGACGCTTTTATTCATGACAAAATCAATTTTATGACTGTGCAATTGTTTAAGCAGCAGGCAGCAGTAGGTGTTGCAGAATAGTTTGATTCTATGGGAGCTTATTACAAATAGGGGTGGGCGATGTGACAACCTTATATTTACTGTTTAGCAGAAGGGCTTTCCAAAGTAACTTGTTGGAATCCTCAGACCATATTTACACTACAGCAATGTAAAAGTTTTTTCTGTAAAATTCTACCCACAATTCCATGGTGGTGTTGCATTGTCTTTCTCACTATTTGTAGAGGTGGGACACAACACTTTAGCTTATCACTTTTGTATCCACAGGGAGGCAATTGTGATATATTATTTTAGGATAGTGAAACTGTTGATCAGTTTTCAATGAATTGCTGTAATACAATATTATTGGTATTGGTTATGTGTGAACAAGACAAACATTGCTTTGAAATCCACAAATGGTTTGGGTAATGGTGTCCGTTAAGAATGACCAGCTTTTATTTCAGCTCAAGCTCCAATGGAAACACTACATGTAGGTGCTTTGTGGATAAAAACTTGTAAACAACTTTCTATAAATAATAATAATAATGTGTTATGTGTTGTCATCATTGTATGTTCAATAGCAAAATTGTCTCTTTGCATTTAAGCCATTGCACCTGGGATACACTCAGTTGGAGCAGTGGGCAGCTATTGGGGGGTGCCCGGGGAGCAATTGAGAATGGGGTGGCCTGCTCAGGGTTACCACGAGATGCGATGACTGGGGATCAAACCCAGAACTTTTGGGTCCCGAGTTGGCTGCCCTGCCTCTACCCCATCTCCGCCCCCCATTTCTGAGGATTATTAAAACAGTTCAGCCACTATTGGGAAGCCATGAAGACTAAAATGTTTGCTTTTGTACCTCCAGGAAAACACTGTGATCTCACAACACTCGTCCAGCAGCACAGTGCCATTCATAATCAGCATAACAAGAGTTAAAGTTGTGTGTTCTGTGTCTTGGGTTTGGGCCCTCTTCACAATGGTGGACATTACCACTGAACTCTTCACAACCTATTAGAACTATAGTGCATTATTATGTGGGGATTATAATCTATTTTTCAATGCATTACACTTTTGAGCAGAGCACATACTGTGATGGCTGCATACAACAGAGATATATATTTGTTCAACTTGTTATAAATATGGTATACGTCCAAAACAGGCTTCCAGTTAACTTTTTTAGTTCCATCTTCAGTGGTTGCCAGAATGTTGAACAAAATGTACATACATCAACATCCACCTATCCATGCATTATCTTTACCCGCTTCTTCCATTTTGGGTCACGGGGGTCGCCGGTGCCTATGTCCAGCAATCACTGTGCGAGGGGCGGGGTACACCCTGGACGGGTCGCAAGTCCATCACAGGGACACATAGAGACAAACGAGACAAACAACCATTCACTCTCTCACTCACACCTAGGGACAATTTAGAGTTACCAATCAGCCTAACATGCATGTTTTTGGTCTGTGGGAGGAAACCGGAGTACCCGGAGAAAACCCACGCATGCACGGAGAGAACATGCAAACTCCACCCAGAAAGGCCCCTGGACCGGGGTTTGAACCAGGGACCTGCTCGCTGAGAGGCAGCAGCTCTACCAGTTGCGCCACCGTGCTGCCCATACATCAACACAAGTTCTTTAAAATATTATAATGAGACAGGGCTTTTAAATGGGAAAGTTTTGCATCCACAAGAAGCTCCCCTTCACTTCATATGTGAGCAGTGTATCCATGACAATTACATCCACAACTGCACCATGCCCAGAACCCCACGTTGCATGACTTTCTCAAACTGCTTTAAGATGCAGCTGAGCGCCAGAAGATTATGCCTTAATAACACAGTGCTACGGCCTCAAGTATCACATTTGGGCTAAATTGTTTCAATGATCTTGTAACAATCTGCAGAATTTCCTATAAATATATAGATTTTGGAGCCTCATACTTTAGCTCCACCCTTTCTGCTTCTCTGTGCAGTAGGCCTGACCACAATAAGAACCAGTGCTTCTTGATTTGCACTTAAATGGTGAATGACGAACAGTATGCAGCATTTATTTGCACACAAACATTGTAGATATTGCACCTGTGTGGTGAGAGAAAGGCACAATCCTGTTGTTGTGAGAGTAGCGGCAGGACACTCTGTAGCAACCACACAGCCAGGGATGTTGTAATAACTTGGAGTGTAGTCAGCACAGTGGGAGTGATGGGGTTATAGCATGCAGCCAGTGCTGCTAGCCCTGCTTTAGATTCTTGTTGGCCAAACTAAACCTGTGAGTGTGGGCCTAACACCATGTATATGTTGTCACTGCTACCTTCACATTCCACCCTGATATGCCACTACCACAATAATAAACTTCCCCAACCTTGCTATGGAATTGCTCTGCCTGCTCAAAACCCTCTCCATGCAAAATACATTGCCTGGCCAAAAAATGGTCACTCACTGTAATATTTCATTGGACCAACATTTAGCTTTGATTATGGCACACATTTGCTTTGGCATTTTCACAAGTTTCTGCAGTGTTACAGCATTTATTTCTGTTCAGAGTTGCGTTCATTTTTTTTAATCAACGGGGTTCAGGTCTGGACTCTGTGGTGACCAATCCATGTGTGAAAATTCTGTCTCGTTCTCCATGAACCACTCTTTCACAATTCAAGCCCAATGAATCCTGGCATTGTCATCTTGGACTGCCCACACCACCAGAGAAGAAGAAAAAAAATCCACTGATGGAATAAATTGGCCATTCTGACATGATCAGTGATCTCTGCTTGCCCCATCCTCTTAAGTCTCTGCCCCTTTATGCCTTTATCACTTCCTCTGCCCCGCCTCACTCACAGCCCTTCATGTCATGTTTCTGCTCCTCTTTATCATATGCTGGTTTTCCATGCCTCTTGTCATGTTTTCTTCAGCCATTAAGCCACGCCCCCGTCTGCACTTTCAGCTCATCAGCCTGATTCACTGCACCTGTGTTTGGCCTATTTAAGAACTCCACTTTCACTTGTCCGGTGCCAGATTATTACACCACTCATGGTCCCTGATTTTCCAGCCATCATAGTTTTTCTTGTTTCATGCCTGAACCTCAAGTCTTGTTAATGGATTTTCGACCTCACGCCTTGCCTTCTGGATTTCCCGTTTCTGCCTGCCCCTCATCTGGTTCTGCTCGGCCTCTCCAATCACAATAACGACCTCCTCTTCCATCTATAACCACGACTCACAGATCACTCTTTTTGGATTACTCTTGCACCACTGACTCTCCGTGTTTGACCCCTGCTTTGCCCTTTGGACCACAAACCTGCATTGCCCCACTGTTCACAGCATTAAAGGCCTCCCTCTGCAGCTGCTTTCCCACTAGTTTAAGTGACTTCATCTCTCTCTAAACTCTGATGGGTGGCTCTCACCCCACCTGCCTGTGAAGACCTGTTACTGCAATTGAATCCTGAGTCTCCCCAGCAGCTGCAAATCATCCAATAAAACTTTTCTTTGTTTTATCATTCTTGTTTTCTGGCTGAGTTTGAATCCTAAAACCTTGCTCCATGACACATTCAGTTGGCCTCATTCTTTGGACACATTGCTGAACCTAAACCAGACCAACATCATTAACCCCAGCTCATGCACTGCTCCACATGCTTGTATGACTAGCACTACGCATGATGGATGCATCACTTCAGCAGCCTCTCTTCTGACCCTGATGTGCACTCTCCACAGTCCTTCGAGTTTTTAATTATGCGTTGAAGAGTTCTTAACCCAATTTTAGTAGTTTTAGTAATCTCCATAGACAGTTTCTTGGCTTGACGCATCTCAATAATTTCACCCGATTAACATCTTTTCCACAACCACATGATGTATACTTCCACATGGTTGTTTACCAAATGAGAAGCTACTCACTGCATCTGTTAGGGTTGTCAGCTGAAACATTATCACCCACTGCATCTGTTAGGGTTGCCAGCTGAAACATTATCACCCACTGCATCTTTTAGGGTTGCCAGCTGAAACATTATCACCCACTGCATCTGTTAGGGTTGCCAGCTGAGACATTATCACCCACTGCATCTGTTAGGGTTGCCAGCTGAAACATTATCACCCACTGCATCTGTTAGGGTTGCCAGCTGAAACATTATCACCCATGCAGTAATTATCCAGTGGGAGGCTCTTACCACTTAGTTAAATCCAGGTGTTGACCTTTTTTGGGATCCAGGCAGTGTATGAATCTGACTCCTTTCACCATATGTCCCTGAAAACCTCCATGAAGGCCCACCAACAGCATTCATGTTAAGCTGATTTTCAACACCACATCAGCGCTGTCGTCCAGCGTGAAGGGGGCCTAAACTTATAGTGTTTGAAAGAGCACTAAAACATTCATTAAAAAGAGTTAAAGAAACCAAAACTCAAATGTCAAATCCATTTACTTTGTGCTGCACATTGTCAAAGACGGGCACGTCATAGCTGAGAACTGCAACAGCTAAGTAGCTTCTATTTTAGTAACACAAATATAATTCTGTGTCTGTGTTGAAAGAGTGCTCAACTTACTCATTCTATCAACGTGCA